TAATTTTATTAATATTTCCATGTGACATGACAGTTTTTTAGGAGTAGGACTGAGATCCTGAGGTTTAGCCTCCGTGTGTCAGGAAGGAAATAAAGATCCCAGACAGTTTTGACCTGATGAATATACCAAAAACTTAAGGGTGATGTTGTGGCGTTAGTTACAGTAACTTGCCTCAGGGCGGATGTGGTGTGCCGGCATTGTGTCAGACCACTATCTGCTAATGAAGTCCCTTATATGTCAGTTCATGATATCATTATACTGTGACCCATACACAGTCATATTGCATCTTTACACTAACTCTATTTTAGAAACATCCCGCCCACATTAACCTGTGAATGTACATAAACTGTAATATTATTGCATAAAGTATTATTTTTTTATTGTTTTTCCCTGTTTTATACTGTGTAGGTTACTTTGTGACAACTGCTCTTGAAAAGTGTTATATGAAATAACTTAAAGGTTGTAGAATTAAATGTAGATATAACTTCCTTTATGCTACTTTTAAAAACAAATTGACAATGAATGAGTCATAAAACTAAAGTATTAATTTGTATTACGAATTGTTGAGGAAGAATTGAGCAGTTCTCTGAGGGAAGAAGCTGTCTTTAAGTCTGGTGGTACAGAAGCAGCAGCAGTCCTCCTGCCCTGTGCCGTGCACATCCCATGCCAGTTTGTGATGTTTCCAGTCAGGATGTTTTCTATCGCTCATCTGGAAAAGAGGAAGAACTTGGCACAGGAATTCAGCTTTCTTCAGTTTCCTTAAGAACTGCAGTGGTTTCTGTGCTTTCTTAACCAGGGTGGAGATGACCACGACAGGTTGGTGGTGTGATGTTGATTCCCAGGAGCCTAAAATATCCTCACGAAGGACTTCAAAAAGCCGTCGAGCTCACTATCGTACACTCCTGTATTGATTTTCTCATTTATTTCTGAATTGCCACGAGGAGGAGACCGCATCTGTCCAGTCATTCCAAATTCCTAAGCCTGTTATCATGGCTGAAGGCTTGCTTGCTCATTGTGTCCACCACAAATAACAGGACACAGATGGTGTCTTAACAAAAAGTAAGGTAGAGTTATTCCGCTATGTTTTAGTTTTAAGATTTTAGTTTTTTTAAAAATATATTTTAAATATATTTTGATCGTGAATTATTTTGGCCGGGAGAATTTAACCATTTCTTGACATCAAATGCTTTTTCCCCATAAGTCATGGCCCTGTTACCATAACAACAGAAACAAGGCAAGAGACAGTATGCTGTCGTTTCTAATAGCCAACGCCTTTTCCGAGTTAGAGAACTGAGACAGCAGCTTTGTCTGGTCAGTCGATGGACGGATTCTACACAGTTTGATTTGAAAAGTAATGTCAACCCTGAATCTGGATTCATAAATGTTGTTTATATGTTGCGTAGTCTATGGTGCTGCAGAGGAGTGACACGTCTCAACCCTGAGATGTTACTGACCTGAATTTGTCTGCTGAAGACGTGCTGCTGTGATAACACTCGCCTGTGACAGTTGACACATTCACACACACACACACACCCACACACACACAGTCTTTGGACTCCCTGAACTGCTGACCCCAGGGTCATGAAGGCCAAGGTTCAGAAACTATTTGAGCGTGTGTGTTGGGCCCTGAGAGTCACATGGGCTGTACTTGGCTTTGACCTCTGTGTGTGTGTCTATGTGTGTGTTCCTGTGACCTCGGTGTGCGTAAGACCAGAGGGGCCAGGGAGTACTACAGCAAAGTCAGCAGAATCAGTGGATTGAACTGCTCCACTACTGTATACAGTAGTCTGTGTGTGTGTGTGTGTAAGCGTATTTAACTGGTTTGTCTATTATTGAAGACTACAGTGAGAAGACCTGACAGTTAGCCGACTTTTTCTTTTTCTCCCACTCTCTCTTTCTATATTTCCAGGGTGAGTCCGATCAGTTCCTTAGGAGGAGTTTGTTAAAGTACAACGTGTGTATATCAAATTCAAAATTGCCCAACTTCCTGTTGGGTTCGGGGTATGGCTCCAAGAGACTTCTTTATACCTCTGGACTTAATACATGTGTGTACCAGTTTTTATACGTATCTGCGAAATGTGACATGGGGGCTGCTCTTTAGGGGACGCCATTTTGCCTTGCCCATGTGTGAGACCCATATGACATGTCCCTCAACTCACGCGTGCCATGTTTCATGACTTTTCAGGCATGTTTTAAAAAATGCAGTTTGTTTCTATGAATACTAATCGGAGCAGTTTCAATAGGGCCTTCGCAGGGCCCTAATAATCAGCGTATGTGTGTGTATGTCAGTATCAACAAGAAAAAGAATCAATAGATACCATAAAGAGGTGAGTATATAGTGCTAGATATAGAAAAATAAATGCTTATATCTCCATTAAACATTGCTCTGGCGCCATTTGATGGAAACATATTTTCACTAAGGGGTGCTGTGCAGTATAATTATGTGTGGATGAATGTATGTGCACACACTTTCACTGTCCTTCAGCAAGTCCTGGCTCAGATAGTTACTCTATCACTAAACTACAAGGTCCAACGTGGAGGTTATTATCCTGCTTAAAGCAGATGTCACATGTAATCAAATATAAAATATTATTTGTACATGTACTTATTAAACAAACTTTTCCGTTTAAAATCTTAAATTAGGGAGAGAAAGAAATTTTACAGATTGCTCTCAAATCTTGAACAAACTCTTTGCATCCCACCACATGACTTTATTAACTGTGCCTTTGCAGTGGAGATAACGTTACATCCTGTGGCGCTGTCGCTGTCACACACAGGTTGCGTGGCGCTTTCCCCATTCTGCTATCTGTTAAACACACACACACACACATATAAGCTCTCTATCTGACATTCTTTCCCTCACGCACTCTTACCTGCAGTTTGTCCACGTCTCTTCATTTTCTGTGCCATTTTCATCACGTTGTCTCTCTTTCCTCCCAGGCTGCAGCTTCATTTCAACTAAACTTAGTTCAAAAGTCATCCCTTTCCTCCTCCTCTGGTTACAGTTGAATACTGGCACATTCATTTGGAACTGCAATTAAACACCGGCATCATACAGGTGTCCTACTGTCCATGTAGGGTTAGGGTCATTTTTATTGTTCCAGTTGTCAATATCAAATATTAATCAAATATTTCTTTTTGCAGATTATCACTATGAATCCACTAATTTCAAATTTCTAAATGAAGTACCTATAGTGAGTGATTCAGATTTTTAATGTTGGACCTGATGGACTGTTCAAAAATAATATACAGCACGCATACACATGAATGATGTGTGCACATATTTGAACACAGGCGCACACACACACTGTACACACACACTGTACACACCTACACAGTGCATGTATGGCTTTAGGCGAGCCTTCTAGGCAGGATTCTGCTATTGACCTTGACCAGCGCGAGAGAGGAGCTGGGAATGCTGTGTGCTGTTCAGAGATGAGCTCTGTGTGTGTGTGTGTGTGTGTGTGTGTCTGTGTGTAATTATCCTTATGAGGGCCGCAGATGAATATGGTGGTAGCAGAAAGCCCAGGAGATGTGGGGATGGCATACAGCACACACACTCTCACACAAAGGAACACACACATGATGGGATCTGTCCATCCTTTTTTTGTCTCCACAGGGGAGGGAGGCTGGAGCAGGGCCTACTTACACTGGCTCTCATGTGGGTACAAATGTGAGTGTGTGTGTTATTGTGCCTGGATATATGCATCTGTTTTTGTGTGTGTGTGTGTGTGTGTGTGTGTGCGTGCGTGCCATTGTGTCGGTATGCAGTTATTGAATCTCATTTGCCACATTCCTCTCTTTGTTGCTGTTGAATCTACAGGGTAATGGATTTATTAAGTTTGTCTGGCAGGCCTGTGTGTGTGTGTGTGTGTGTGTGTGTGTGCATCCACATAAAGACATACATATTGTGTTTGTGCTTGTGTGTGTCGTTTCTTCATCGTGGTATGTGTACTTTGCGTTGATGTTGGTTTTGTGTGTGTGTGTGTGTGTGTGTGGGTGAGTGTGTGTTGGCCTGCGTCCCTGTGTTGTGCACTATTATTTTGTGTGTGTGTGTGTGTGTGTGTCCCAGGTTCTGTGGTCCGCTGAGATCAGATGAAAGGAAAGAGGCCTATGACTGATCCACTCCTTCTCTACAAGGGAATTCGACCTCCCCTCTCTCTCTATATCTCCCTCTCTCTCCCTCACCCTCTTTGTGTCTCTCTAGCTCTCTCCCTCACCCCATCTTTCCCCATTAACTGTCAGTCTCTCTCAGCGTCTCCCTCCCCATCTCCCCCTCTTTCATTCTCTTTCTCTCTGAGCATGTGACCCACTTTTACCACCCACATCTCTCCCCGTCTCTCCCTCTCCCTCTCCCCAAGTCCCATCTGAAGACAGTCTACTGAGAGCAAACCAGGGGACACAGAAAGAGAGAGAGAATAAAAAGAGTAGCTGTCTGCATTCTGCTCGTACA